TATTATATATTTTTTCATGTTTACATATTATAATATATATTGACATATATTTAATTATTAATTAATCACTCTGTAGTCGGAAGCAAAAGATTATTCAGTGTATTTCGCACAGTAGAGAAAATCTTTATTTGTTTTATTATTGGCGTTAGCTAATAAATGTTTTAGCTACTCCACACCTTATGATGTTAACAAGTCTCTGGACAAAACAAACTTTTACAAAATATTCACACTAAGCCACATTCATCTCTATTAGAATATCAATTATGTTCAATAAAAAAGAATTAAGTTGCGAGGCAAAACGGAAATACCTTTTCAAGTYCGCAATCAAATTATAAATAAATAAAAATGAAAATAAAAATAAAATCCCCTCACAATAAATTAAACCCAAAGAGCAAATCTCTGGCAGCAATTAAGGAATTTGTTGAGCAATGTTTGAAAATATTAATATTTATATGATTGATGCTCGGCTGGCTCTAAATTTCAGGTATTTGTAGCCAGAGCAATTTTTGCCAAGAACAAAATACTTTTTCCGGCTTACAATTTGCAGTTTTATTTCTCTCTACTCGTCTTTTCTTTTCTTTTTCTAGCCTGCAACAATTAGGACTATTTGCTTGCCAGAGCGAAAGCAAAATCAAACGCAAGGCTTATCAACTTATGATTTCTGTATAAATCGTTGCTTTTGATGAATGAGCTCATGGGCATGAGAGAACGAATTCATGACGTGATTGTGGTCAATCGTTCAATAAATATTGGGGAGATTTTAGTTTTTTTTTTTTTTTTTTTTTTTGCTTTGGCTTTTGTTTCTTTGTCATTTCTAGGTGCTTTGGCAACGCTTAAGCTCAACTGTCAGCATAATATCTTTAAAAATGTAGAGTCATTTATTTGGCACATGGTTCGCAATGCCAAAAAGAGAGAGACTGGGAACAACTCACATAAAAAAAGTAATACGTATATATATACATATAACTTTGTTAGACTGGGGCTAAGAAAGTGTAAGCATGAATGGTTCGCTCCTCAATCTAACACAACCCCACCCAAGCATCTCTTGGCCATAAATTGTGCTTGAACGGAATGCGACACAAAAGCTACTCTGGAAAAGGCCATATAGCAAGCAATAACAACAACAGCAACAACAATGTATGACTGCTTGCTCTCTATAAGGTTCCTCAGCTCAGATCTCAGCTGATAAGACAAAAGAGTTATGGCGCTTTTCACAAACTTTTGAAGATGTCGTGGCCAATCAAGCATAGCTCATGATTATATATCCACAAGCACTCAAAGTTATGGCCATAATGCCCCTTTATGGACATTTAATATTATAACTTAATTAATTATTACGATATTCTAGACAACGAACAAATGCCCAAAACGAAAAATAAATAAAAAATAAAAATAATGCTCCTCGTAAATATGTATGTGTGGCAGCCACAATTTGCCTATGAATATGAATTCAGTTTATTATTGTTGGCTACCAGCGCGGACAATGGGCCCATGGGCCAAGGGGCTAGTTTTTCAGCTTTTCGAGCTTGAATATTTATTTGAAATGCCAGCGATTTGTACTCAACCGGTCCGGACTAATGCAAAACATGTATCAATGAACTTGAATTCTTGCTCATTGGAAATTCATTAGGTTTTATCTAAGCAAAAAAGCTGCCTAAAAGCCAATGGGAAAAGATAACACAAATAATAAACAATAGAAGCGTTGATTTATTAATTATTTTTATTACTTTTTTTTTTCTAGGCAATTTTCGTAAATTATTTAATGTGATTTTCAAAGCAATTTAATTGACAATTTCCATTTGTGATTATTTTCTTGGCAAATCAAATGTTTGTGAACTTTGCTATTTGCATTTGTAGCCATGGCTACGAGCTGCGAGCTGTGAGCTCTGGGATAGGGAATTTATGTAAATTTGAACACAGTTCGCTTACACTCGGCTACAATTAAATATTCGCCTGCAAATGGCCAACTTAAATAGTGCTAAGCGTTTTCTAATGGAAGCAATTAAAACGCTTCCCGCCATAAAAAATCATTTTAAGTGCGGCGCATCTACATACATGTGAGTGTGTGTGTGTGTGTGTGTGTGTGTGTGTGTGAGATGGGGAGCGCGTGAGTGAGTGAGAGCCGCCGAGGGGTGGCTGAGTTGGGCTGGGGCGTGTCATTCATTGGCACATCTCGCAGCGAGGTGCGAATTTGTTTTTCAGCATGAGAGCAGATCAAAAGATATTTGCATTTTAAACGCAGCCAGAGGTGCCAAACACACGCTTTAATAAGAGCAACACCACCAGCAGCAGCAACAGAAACAACAGCAGAGGTGCTACAGAGAAAATTTACACGGCACGACGAAGCGTGAATACACTAGCAAACATGAGAGGGATTTTAGTGAAGTATACAGAATTTTGAGTTGTTGGGTTATTAAATTAGAGACTTCATTGATTCGTTTTGTGTTAGCTCTATTTTTGATTAGTAATGTGATAATGCATAATTATTTTGAAAATTGCTAGTTTCGATATGTGTTCCATAATTTGCTAATCAATAATCATCTATTCATACTAATTAATACTAATAATTCTGTGGCGCATTTGCTAACTAATTCTAATGAATTTATGTAAAGTTTAATTAAGCTTGTCTCAAACAGAAACACCTTATACAGCGGGCAAAGCCTTTAGCATTCAGAAAATATGTTAATTTTTAAGTAATTTATATGTAATGCTACAGTAACATTTCATAATGGATTTTAGTCTGAAACTGAACTATGTTATAGCCAGATGCCAAGATCAATCAGATACATCCATATCTCACAACTAGAATGTATTATATCAATATCTCACTAAATATATTTAAATATTATATATCATATATTGTATACCTATGTTTGTCTTCGTTAATGTGTTACATATGTATTAAAAAATATACCAAGGAAACTCTCTCTCTATCTATCTCTATCTAAAATCGTATCCATATCTTTTGGCACCAATCAGATAAATCAATATATGAATATCATATATGCACCTGATGCATGTTAGATATACCTCTGTTAAATTGTTACGTATGTTAATAAACATTGAAAAAAAGTCAATGATGATAACTTTGTTTCAGCTAGCCCTAAAGTGAAAGATGAACTCTCCATTTCATAATAGGCATTACAAATATTAATAAATGTCTATATACAGAGATAGATATATCCATTATTATCTGAATACCAGTATTGATCTTATCTGAATCTGATCATTTATTTACATATTTTCATAAATATTCAAAGTAATCTTGATTAAGGGAAATCTTCGCAAGCTCTGATTAATAGTCTAATCTCTAGTCTCGATTGTCATAGACAAATTTCCAAATCTTTTTATACCAAGAATGTACATATATATTCGTAATGTTCATTATCTATATATCGGATCAAAAGTTACGTATGTTTATAAATATACGAATTAACCTTTGGTAAGGCAATTTGATTCAAACTCTAGTCTCAATCAATCTAATCGCATCAACAGTGTATATAATTATCAAATGGCCCATTTATAATCCTGCTGCTCTTTAGCTCAAGCGCAGTTCGAGTGTTACGTAATTTGATCAACATGCTGAGCAACCTTTGATAAGGGTATTCCACTAAACAACAACTGCAGGTTTGTCGTAGCCGCAAGCGCTTTTCCTCTGGGAGCGCCTGTTAGCCTGTTTGCTTGTTTGCTCAGATTCCTTGAGCATATATACACACACATTAAAATATATGCACGTATGTATGCATATGTATATCTTTTACATATTTAATATATGAGCGGTTAAGTTTGTTAACTGCCTGATGGGGCAGCCGGTTATAAGGCAGGCGTGTCGGTCGCTTTGACTCTGCGGTTTGTTCAAATCGCCCGTTGTTTATTTGCTGGCCATTTTCAACAAAAACACCTTCAGCTTCAATACAAAAACAAAAACAAAAACAAAAACAAAAAGAAACATACAGAAAAAAAATGATACAAAACCGGTTGAAGCATTTTTCTTCACAAGTTCGATTTAAGAAACAAAAAGCAAAAACAAAGTTGTACACGACGCTTTTAAAATGCTAAAAGATGTTTGGGCTCCGAGTGGCTGGCGCTGCGGCTCGAACGCTGTGGTGTTGCTAATTAAGATTACAGACATTGATACTTTACGGTACGCAGTGGCACGTACAGATGCACAGACAGACAGACAGACAGACAGACAGACAGTGAGACGGACAGACAATACATATACACAATACACAGTCAAGTGTATTGAGCTGTGCTTGTGTTTGGGTTTTATTAGCTGCCCAGCAGAGCAGCAGAGCAGCCGAGCAGCAGCCCGGCCAGTTGATGGCATACTAAGGTGCTCTATCAACATCTGACAGCGGCTGAGGGCCCTTTTGGCTTATTAATTATGTAGCTTAATTTGCGATTATGCAGATATGAGCATAAATTTTCAAGAGTAGTATAAAGCTGACTGACTGATAACTCACCAGTTTAATATATGTGCATACTCGAAATCCGTTCATTCAATATTCCATGTTGTTCTTGTTGCTGTTGTTGTTGTTCTTATTGAATTTCGTATATTTGATTGTGTTTTAGCTGCTCTTAATGTTTTTGTTTCTGCTTTTCATATATATTTTATATTCTTCTGACTACCTGCTGATTAGTTTATAAGATCGAAACGCGAGACACGCCGTCTGAGCTGCGTTTTTATAATGAAAATCGTATGCATAAGTATATACATACATATAGAGATAAACATATATC